TTTTGATGCTCAAACTCAGAAGTATCAAAAAGGTATTTATCGAATTCTAATCTGTGATGAATATAAAAGCCATTTTACTCGCGAGATTCTCGAATACTGCGAGCAGCAGAATATTCATATCTTCGCTCTACCTCCTTATACTAGCCATATTTTTCAACCGCTTAATGTTGTACTATTTCAGCCGTACAAGCATTTTCATGCTAGAGCTGTGGATCAAGCAACTCGTACAGGATGCTCGAACTTCAACAAAGTCGAATTTCTACACGCAATTTCAAGCATTCGAAAAGAGACATTCAAAAAGAACTCAATTCTATCCTCATTTCGAGAGTGTGGCCTGGTTCTATATAACCCATAAGTTGTGTTATCAAAAGTGCAAGAATTCTAATCTCCTTCTGCTTCAAATCGATCAACTACCCCTTCAGAATCCTCTTATTCAGCTCCTACAACCCCCTATACCGCTCGTACGCTTCAAAAGCAAGCTGATCAACTCGAAAAAGCAACTCCGAGCCGTATCAAGTCGCTTCAAGAGAAGTTTATTAAAGGCGCTCTTGCCCAGGCCAAAAATGGGATACAAATAAAGCAACAGCTTGCAGAAACAACTGCTGCAGCCAGAGAACGAAAAGAACGCCGTGCTCAAACTCGACGTCAACTACAAAGAGGAGGTACTCTTTATGCTCATGAAGCAAGAAATATGATCAAACAACGCGCTGAAGAAGGGGGTAATCAGCTTGATCGAGCGCTGGCTCGGGAGGATCAACTGCGTACAGCGCTTCAAGCAGAGCAGCTACGGAGTCAATATTTGGCTAGAGGATTCGCAGGAGATTTGTATACAGCTAATCGTCAAGATAGCATCTAAAACGCTCAAATAGGCAATGTATGATGCTTCTTCTAATATGTATACAGAAAAATGCTCATTACGCTGGTATGCTCATTACGGTGGCCACTACTCGCCGGAGGCGAGTGGCCCTAGGCAGGGGGACCAATCGTTGACCACGGCTATATGGTGTGAGAGAAGAGTTGGGTGGCCCTTTGTGAGAGCGCTTTGTGATTTTCGAATCCAAAATTTTGATGTGTCGTCAACCCAATACTGTGCATTGCGAAAGTGTTGCAATTCCTTGGCGCTACCCTCGAATTGCTGGCGCCGCGGGGCAGAATTGCGGTGAGATGTAGGAATAGCTCCCTAGGGCCGTAGAACGCGTAGAAATTGCTTGAAATTGCTCATAGACCTCGCTGACGCCCTTCTCTTGCCCTATCTCAACTGCTGGCCCTTGGTGTTGAGTTCGCGATGAGCAAACTGCGCTTTTCGAAGTCGACCGTCGACGAAATGGCCCTTTTGCTTGCTACAGGCGTAGAACCACGAGAAATAGCTTATAGATTTCGATGCCACGCTTCAACTGTGGGCCGAATCCGGCAGAATATTGATACGTTCGGAGAGCCACGGCCAGCGCCTCAAGCGAAGATGGGTAGGCCGCAAAAAATCACTCCAGAGGCGCTT